AACCGAAGGAAGCCGGCTGAAGTGAATAGCCGAATGTTCACTTCCGCTCGGTTATTCACTCGGCTATCTTCAGCAGCTTAGTTAATAACCCCCTTAGTTTCCAGTATAAGACCATCAATCTTACTTGCCAAGTTATTATTAACCCTTTTCCTGCCACCAACGAATGGCATACAGCGCAACACAACAGTTTCCATCTGGCCACATCAGTATGCCTTACGACGGTGGCTTTTATGGTTCTGCTATAAGCTTGTGGTTGCTTCAGCGACCATGAACCTCTACCGGAACTGTTCCCCTGACGATGCCCTTTAAAATAATAGCAGTCATCAGATTTGAGCAGGTAATTCCATTTCCCATATTACCTGGAAAGTGAACTTACCCTTTAATGCACATTGTGCCTGTAAAGGTGCCCATACACCTTACGATTATCGGACGAAAATCGTACGACGGCCCCATCCTGCCCCGATGATCGCAAGATTAATTTAGCCGTAATTAACTAAAAGCACCTGGACGATATGCGGTAAATGATTTGCCGTATTTTCGTTAGCGCAAGCGCAGTGTAGATCGTACGACTTTTGACGGACGGAACCGCCAGCAACCTTACGAAAATCGTACGATCTAGCAAAGTTTTCAAACATGCTTGACCGCCAAAAGTCGTACGATTGTACAGTACTATCGGTCGGGCACTCTATTCACACGTTACGATTGTCGTACGAAAAGTCGATCGCATACGATTATCGTACGATAATCGTAAGGTGTATGGGCACCGTTAGAGAGTTCTGCTGCCCCACTACCACAATATGGCACACAGTGGAATGGTGACAGCACTCAATACACACACACACACACACACACACACACACACACACACACACACACGTGCATGTATTTGCATGCAGGTGGCGGGGTTGGTTTTAATTTATTTGTTTTACTTTTTTTCGCTTTTAATTTTTAAAATGGTCAGGGTACCATGCTCAGGCGTCCTCACACCACATGTAGGTACCCACGCAGGATGACCAACTTAATATGCCCACACAGGATAGGGTTCTATGCACAGTTTATTACACATCAACAAAACTACAAACCCCCTCAACCCCCCACAGGTTTAGCAGTGAAGTAACAAACCCACCGTTGGGACAAACACACACCTACAGCCAGGGGGAAGCAACAAGGAGGGGTAACAGGCCTGCAGATATACGGCAGGCCTCAGGATACAAGGAGAGTGGTTAGGTAAAATCCGGGTCGTTAACAGGAGGGCAGCGCAGTACAAAAACAGGATTCAAGGAGAGTGGTCGGGTAACAAGCCGGGTCGGTGACAGGGTTGCAGATAGGAAGCAGGGTTCAGGAAGCAGGGTTCAGGTTCCAAGGCACAGGCCAGGGGAGTCAGTCAGGTGCAGGCGACGCAATACTGAGCCAGCTTCCTGACTGCAGGTAGGGCCTAAATACCCTCCCAGGAAGCACCAGGTGATGGGATGATCAGTCACAGCTGGGGCACACCCGCAGGTGAGTACCGGAGCTGCAGGTTCCTGACAGTTCCTGGCTGCTGGAGACACCCGCAGGCGAGCAAAGGAACTGCAGGACCTGGCTCCAGCGCCACCTGGGGGTGCTCTGGATCCTGATAAAAATGTGTATATATTTTATTACTTTTTTTTATTTTTATAATTTTTCACCTAATTTTATTCCTATAACACAGGGGCTTACAAGCTCCTGTGTGATAATTTGGAGGTGACAGTTTCTCTTTATGGAACCTGCCCTCCAACACAGAATAGATGTTCTGTGCAGTTCCTGACAGCTGAGACAGGTGGTGCTGTGATTGCAGCGCTCCGGTCTCAGTGATCACACAGAGCAGAGAATGGATCTTCTTCGCTCTGCTCCACACTCTCCATCCTGAGCTTATTTGCCGTGGTCCCGGGTCCCCCAGAGGAGGGGACGCCGAAAACCACGGCAGGCAGGGAGGGGGGACAGACAGGCTGGTATATCTGATATGATCCGATCACTTGTACAAAACAAGCAGCGGATCACGGCTGTACATTTAGCTCTGCGTCCGGAACTGCATGTCCTGGGCGTCGGGTGATAGGAATTCAACGCCCCTGAGACTAAATCACTAATCCAATATAACATTTATAAATTATAAATAAATG